GTTGTTTCTACCAAAATATGCAAGGATGCTCAATTTTCATTCAACTAAAATGAGCAAAAAAACAAACAGTCAAAAATAGGCGGATGTGGGGTCGACCTCTTCCCAACCAGGAGTTCAAACCCTGTACTATCCAAAAAGACTTTTTTGTAACAGGGGTTTTTTCAGGTTGACAAAATTAGTTTCCGAGATCTTTAAAAACATTATGAACTTGCTATTATTCAAAATAAGCACCCTAAATTTTGTGTTCTTCGAAGATGGGCTATTTCTGGATACATTTTGTAAATTGTAAACAAATTTTCCCATTCTTGAAAACGAATGTATTAAGATGATAAAACTTGCTTACGGCCATACTTTTGAATAACTTGCAAATACCATCGTTTTGTTTTTTGGCACTCTTGCACCAAGTTTTGACCAAAAAAAATGCGTTTTCGGTGCGCGCTACCTCTTAAAATTAATATACATTGGGGCCAACGGCTCTTACAGAAAACTTTTAGTGTTGCTCAGCCAAAAATGTGAAGCGTGGCTCAGTCGATAATTGAGTGTGTGTCACAAGTGTGGTGTAGGGCGGCGCGTTAGGCCGGTTATAGATCCAAAAACAGATTCTTGGTTTTTCTTTTGAAATCTTGGTGTTTCAATAAAACTTGAAAGTGGGTTTCAAAAGAATAATTTATTCTGTTTCTATTTGGGTTTAGTCTGGTTTGAGTACCTTGGGACCATCTTATACATGCGGTTGGTTTTGTGGTAATTGTAAGCTCCGTTGGTTAGAATAAGCTTACTTATAGTTCCTTCCAACAGGCCTAAAGGAAAGTCTGAAACGCGTGAAATTAAGTTAGAGTTGTTATCAGTGATCGTTGAATCTTAAAATTCAATTATTAAACAATTCTAAGTGGGCGAGTTGTGCGGGTTTGGTGGATAACTGTTTTGAAATTTGGTCGATTAAAGTACAAATATCAAGTTATAAAAGAAGCACACATAAAAAAAATAATTGCTTGTAATTAATTTGCTTTTTATAAATTTAGTACTTCGTAATTGTGAATTTTATTACACAATTAATAATTTATTGACTTGATTATAATACTCATTGCACTTGGATAACTCAGTTTCATTGTTAGATCAAAATTTAAAATTTATAAAAACAAGTTAGTTTTAATAAAATTCATGCTTACGAGGGTTCTAGTTCAGGGAAAAATCCATGTGTGAAGTTAGTTTTCATCGTATCAGAAGTTATCAGAAGCTTGGAGAGCATGAGGATTACGTTTTTAACGCAAACCAGGGGCGAAGGAAGCTCAAGCGCTCTGATGGTTCTTGCTTCTTCGTTGAGTGTTGAAAGTTCTTGATTTGTGTTTTGGATTAGATTATAAAGCTTGTCATTATTTCTAGTATTATGAATGTACTTGAGTAGGGTTATTTCAATTGGCTGTACAAATTCTTGGTTGGGGAAATGATTATTGGGCGAGTGTCATCAATGGGAAAGGTGTTGGTTAGTGGGCAGAATATATACATCAGCCTGACGGGATCATAATTGCGGAGGATGCCGTATAAGTTAGTAGATTTAATAAAATAGGTTGAATTTAAAAAATAAAGTGGTGTATATGTATATTTGGATTTGATAAACATAAATCGATGTTGTGGGTTACGGGCTGGAGTGTTTGATAAATAATGTTTTTGTATAAACTTATAATATGTATAGGTGTGGGTTAGTTTGGTCTTTAACATAATTTCGTCCGAGCAAGGAACGTCTCTTTTCTTGGGGGTAAGGAAGTGAAATCTGAGTCCAAAATGTTAAAATTTACTGAAAAATGTTTCGTGGGCTTTGGTGTTCGCTAATGCGCGGGCGATGATGTTGTCGAACTTTTTATTAGTGCTATCTGAATGGAATATATATTCTGCTCGAATGAAAAAATTTTCAGTTAGTTGAGGATTAGTTTTCGGGTCGTCTCCGTGTGATGTATCTTCCATGTATCTGGTGACAGCATGAACGTAGTGATTAATGGAAAATCTATTTGCGCGTGGTGCAACTATTCTTTTTAGGGTTTGGTGTGAGCCGATGGTAGTGAACTGAGTTTCGTTAAGCTGCGGTGGTGGTCAGTTGGTGAATGAAGGAATGGCAGAGTAAGTTATTTTTGGGGTTGTTTTTTTTAGTGGGAGTTTCGGTTGATTAGTATATTTGTATTAGAAAGTCCAAGATATTGTGGGAACTAGCACAATTTTATTAACCAATAAGTTCAGTTGGCTTATATTGTTAGTCTCATAGTATGTGTATTGGGGGAAAAATAGTAAGCCGTCGATTAAGAAGTCTGGGGTGTTAGTGTATTGCGGGTGATATGAATACAGTCGGGATGAACGTGAACAACTAATAAGAAATTGAGGTGTAGTGTTAGGGTGCTTTCGTTTTAAAACTCGGTGTGCTCTTTTTGGAGCGATCTGAATTGTATGAGTTGAGGATTGGGATATTGAGGCTGTGATTCAATTGATGATTTGTTAGTGCTTTATTTGTGTCATGAAGGCGTTGTTGTTGAGTTATAAAATATCCTAGTTCATGCTCTAGTTGATTGTCGGTCATTGGGCGTGCTGCATTGGGTTGATTACTTGACATTGGGGAAAGGATAGGGGTAGCGTCAGTGTATGAAGAGTGGGAGAGAGACGTTTCATCAGAAAGTTGGGAAGCAATTGGTTGAAAAGGTGGTTGGGAAAATTTCTAGGGCGGGGTTCGGAGTTGAGGAATTCATCGGGGGTTTCTATATCAGACTTATTAAAGTTAGATATGGTGTTAAAAACTGTTTGGGTTGAATCGTCTGAGTCTATGCGTGGTGAGTTAGAAAAACTGGGAAAGGGGGAAGAGGGAAGGTCTGAGAGGAAAATGCGGGAGGAGTGGCGTGGGAGGTTTGATGGATAGGAAAGAGAATGGTTGAAGGATCCAATCTGTCGGCTCATCGTGGGCTGAAAAGATGATTATTCTGAAAGCGAAAAATTATTGTGTGTGGTTGTTCTACTATTTGTTCGTATAAGTCGCCAATGATTGGTTGTTTGAGTGTTATATGGGATATTGGACTTCGTGGGAAAGATAGTTGCTAAAAGATAAAAAAAACATGCGTTCAAAAACAAACGGAAATGAAATGACAGAAACTGAGACGAAAATTAAGAACTCTTAAACGAAAAATTGAGAAATTTTTTGAAAAACTGATTACAACCTGAAGCAGTACGTTTACGTAATTACTCTAAAATGATGCTAGTTTCCTTTGAATTTCTAGATTTTGAGCAGGGTAGAAATTATAATTATGTGAAGCTACAAAAATGACCATTATGTGAACAAACTTGTTTACGGGAAAAAAAGTCCTGTACCCATTTGCAGTATCCTTGCTTATCGCAAGGGTAATAAAGTTCATAAAAAATTTTTTTGATTGCATTTTTTCCTATTTTGACGCAATTCTAATGCTGCCTTAGTAGTGCAACGTTCCGGCATCATTGATTGTACGAAGAGAAATTCGAAAATGGGAAAAAACGTAAAAACTTTGGGAAAAAAATAGGCAACTTTCTGATTCTTTTTCCAGCCCATGGCTACAAAAAAGTGCATTTTAAGTAGTAATTTTAGTAAACATAATAGTAATATTAGTAGCCAAAAGATAGTTGAAAAAGAGTCATGAACGCGATGAAACAGAAAAAACAATAACGACATGTTTTTTGACACACCTTCTATTTCTCAAATTCAAAAAATATATATTTGGCCTTATAACTCGACTTTCAAAAACAAGTTGTGATTGACATTTTATAATAAAATCAACTCAATTTGAGAAAACTCGATCAATAGGTAGAACGTTTGTTCCACTGGGATATCTGAAAATTAAATTTCATATTCGAAACTAGAATTTGATCACGTTTTCTGTGATCTTTACACTTTTGCTTTTTAATAGTCAAATTTGCCTATCTTTCAACGAAAAAAATGAAGTAAACTTGAGAAAAATTAAATGTTGAACCGCTAAAAAAAATCAAATTTTAGCATGAACTAAATTTAGGACTATTTCCTGGAAAAAAATCACCAAGACCAGGGGCGGATTTAGGGGGGGGGGGGGGGGGAGAGCGGACGCACTACCCCTCCTCTCAGGGTTTCGACCCCCTGCCTACCCAAAGGGTCCCCCTTCGTACTATTTTTGACTTACCCTACTAATTTTCTAAAGGCGCCAAACAATACTCATTTTGAAGTGGAGCGCGCGCCGAAACATGCGATTTTTTGCTCAATCTTCTAAAAATTAGGCCCTTTTTTGGCCTGTTTTTTCAAAAAATTGCCTGAGTCGAAGAACTTGTTGCCAAAACAGTCTTTTTAGTGCTTTCGAAAATTTTTTGAAAATCTGCCCCACCCCCTCGAGAAAATCCTAGATCAGCCCCTGCCAAGACCTGTATAGTTTTGACTATGCTCTTAGAAACACTAAATTATTCCTAAATTAGTCATCCTCTCAAATGTTTTGTCCATTTTAATCTGAAAAACGGAAAATTTCAGACCAATTTTCTATGACACCGAGACATCTTTTATGCCAAGTTCAAGAAAAACGTGTTAAGTAAGTCAGGTTGTGAGTGAGGAAAAATTCGGTTGCAATTTGGTTTGAAAATAGAAAATAATCAGACCAAAATTTTGAAAGTATCAGAATCACGATTGAAAGGAACCTACTATAATACTAAACTTGGCCCCTGCAAGTTTTCTCTAGGTAATCAAAATTAGAGGTTATAATTAGAGTTTTTGTTATAATTTTTGTCAAAGAATTGTGATAGTTTTTTTTTCCAATCAGTGAGTGGGCGGAACGATGAAACCTAGACAAAAAAGTAACTTGCTGCGCACTTCGTAAAATTTTATCAAGCGGCAATCGTCCACGTAAAGTGCCAAGTTTAGCTTACGAAAGAACTGATCACGAAAGGATGTTTCGTTTTTTAGCTACATTGTGAATTCTGCCTGATTTATAATCAGTACTCTCTAAAACATAGCAGTCTCCTAACTCAAGTTATGAGGAAACTTTGCAGCTCTTGTAAATTACCAGAAGTTTTCTTTAATCATTAAGAGCTGTAATGGAATCAGAAATACAAAATTTTCAAATCGGAACAGATTACCAGAGAATTCATTTTTCTTTAGAAACAAAACAAATGATAATAAGTACGATATAGACGACAAGGATTTGTGACTAAATAATGCCTCGTAATGAGAAGAAACTTCCGCAGTTGAATTCGATTCAACTATTCAACAGTTCGTTTGTACATTCATTGTCTCCAAAGTAACATGATTGTTCTCGTTAAGTCCATCCTTTACTTTTTGCTCAATTATCTCCGACTTCTTTCTTTTGAACCATCGAACAATGACCACGTCTAAGTTAAGTGAGAGATCAAAAGCCGTTATTGTGACCACAATCGCGCCCAACACCGTCGACCAGAAGATTCCTTCATCGGGGAACAAAATGACTTGAAGAGTATAGTCTAAGACTACTTTTGAAGTGCCAATAGACGTATAAACTGCAGCTTTTACCCTCTGTAATGCAAGAGTCTCTAATGGAGATATAAAAGATGCTAAAATAGACGATATGGCAATAATAAGGGCGCAGTAGATATTGTGAGAACAGAAATACTCGTTGTACAGTTTTTCGTCCGAGTAGAATATTTGGTATGCGGTTCCACTGAGAGTGAGAGCGATTCCCACTAAAGTGTTGAGGAGATATGCGTTCACTTCGAATCCCATTTTGCGCACTGCAAGAACCTGGGTTGTGATGAGAACTGCGAGGCCCACACAAAACAAGGTTGCTAATACTCTGAAAAACGACATTTTTCCAAATGATAATAGAAGAAACACCTTGACAAAAGATTGAAAGATTTTCATTTTCCCAAGTCGGTAGATCGGAGTATTCTGAGAACTGAGAAAACTGTCAAATTAAGCAAGTTCATGCCTGTAAAAAAATAAATTTTTGTTCAACGATTAATGTACAAATGCTTATATCTACTTCTTTGCCAAACGTAATTTGAATCAATTGCGAATTGGGAGGGTGGATCGGGATTTATGTTTCAGCACTACCCATAATTTAATTATGTTTTATACTTAGTTTTGTACAACTCCGCAGAAACTGTTGTTTCAACCCAAATATGCAAGGATGCTCAATTTTCATGAAACTAAAATGAGCAAAAAAAAACAAACAGTTAAAAATAGGTGGATGTGGGGTCGACTTCTTCCCAAACAGGAGTTCAAACCCTGAACTATCCAAAGAGACCGACTTTTAGACAAAATTAGTTTCCGAGCTCTCTAAAAACAGTATGAACAAGCTATTATTCAAAATAAGCACCCTACATTTGGTGTCCTTTCAAGATGGGCTATTTATGGATACATTTTGTAAATTGTAAACAAATTTTCCCATTCTTGAAAACGAATGTATTAAGATTATAAAAGTTACTTACGGCCATACTTTTGAATAACTTGCAAATACCATCGTTTTGTTTTTTGGCACTCTTGCACCGTGTTTTGATTTTTTTTAAAAATGCGTTTTCGGTGCGCGCTACCCCTTAAAATTAATATACATGGGGGCCAACGGCTCTTACAGAAAAATTTAGTGTTGCTCAGCCGAAAATGTTTCGTAAAATAGTACCAAAGGGGGACCCTTTGGATGCTGAAGGGGTCGAGTTCCCCTTTAATCTTCCCCATGCTGCCTTTTTATATACGAAATGTTTTTGGGCGACTCATTTTTTCAAGAAAAAAGTCAATGTATTGGAAAATGTCTTTTTAGCTTGCAGTAGAAGAGTTTCTAAAATTAGCTTGGTCTTCTCCAATGTCAAAAGACCCCCCCCCCCCCCTCACCACTCACTGGCTACACTAGCAAAAACTCTGAAGATCTAATGATGTACTATCTGTTTTGCCTGTGTTACCAAACCATTCGCTTAAAGTAAGACCATTTATCCACGAGGGATAGGCCCACCATACGAGCTGTACAGCTCATCACGGCGAACCGCTGTTGTTACCCTGCTTAAGTTCTACATGCACTCTTTTTGGTTATTTTTCTCGGCTGCGTAATGTTGCCTCACCCGCAAGCAACGAGCACGGATCAAGGTGGGCCTCGAACATCCGACCTTTCGATTGAGCGGCGGAGACGTAACCACTTCACCACTGCTCTCCGATCTAAGAACTCAAAATTGCCTACCTTACCACCAAAACTCACCTGTGAGGATAAACTTGATCCGAATTCGTTGCTCCAAAGATGATTGCCGGTCTGATAATGAACACAACTCCGAAAGAACTCAATACAACCAAGAACACCTGGATCCTCGTCAGTTTTTCATCAAACAGTATAAATGCGAAAATGGCCACAAGCAGTGATGGGCCACAAGTGAGTATAACTGACAGGTCTCCGAATGGCATCTCTGGTATGATTCGAAACAAGACTGGGAGAAGGAGGAACATGACTCCAAGTTTCATCAGGATGCCAATCCAATTGCGTCTGATGACATTGGGCGCACCAGCGTCTGATTTTGTCTTAATTGTGAGCGAAGACTGGATGAAAACCATGGCTATTCCTAAATTGAAATCAATTGCTTATATCGAAATACAATAGTAAACAGTTATATATTAAACGCAAGGTTAGTCGATTGGAGAGTAGGTAACACAGAATGTGCTGACCATTCATCAGCCCAAAAATAATTTAAAAAATAAAACAAGATTCCAATAAAAAAAAAATTAATTTCAAAATAAATTTTAGACGTTCTTTTTTTTCGGTAAGGGCTGAAGGGGCGAAGGGTGATAAGGTACTTAACTTTGCTTTCCAATATGATAAATAATGATTTCCTGTAAAAAGAAACCGGATTAGTAGAAATACCATAATGCAAAGATGACTCAGGGAGAGCGAGGCAAACAGCAAAACAGCCATGTGACTTTATCGCAATAATTGCATAAAGCTATTGCAAAAATTAATGTAGAAGACAGCTAATTTATAATTTAGTATTTTTGGTTAAATGAGACTATTAAAAAAAGTAAGAATGTCACTTTTTTTTCAGCCTTATTAATTGCATCTCACTCCTTAGTTAGGAAGGAGTTTAGTATGTAGAAGTAGATGTAACCTTGCCATAGTAGGAACCAGGAGACAGTGATGTTGGGGTTGAGTTTGATGACGAGGGTGTTGGCACTGACCGCGGACACAGCCATGAATGCGAAGAGAGAGCCCAACAGCTGATTCCACACTGACACCGGAGGCTCATTCGGATCCCTAAGCACAAAATCACTGCAGTTTAAAGACACAACACAATTTTCATTGCTGCCAATAGGCGTGAATCGAACTGAAGCCCTTAATATCCTGATTCTAATTTTCAATAAATCTTATTTCTGTGATACAGCTCGATATAATAATCTGTTCTGTGAACAGCTAGATAATAATCTTAAGTTATGAAGGTTTGAAAAGTGACAGGTTGAAGGATAATTATCAAACCCTAATTACGGTTGCCTATACACCTTTTTAGAGTAATTTTGAAGCGGTTTGAGCCAATAATGAAATTTCGAATAATTAGCCTATTCAAGATATGAATTATCGTTCTCATGAATCGCTCGAAAAGGCATTAATTTTCAAGGCTTGATTGATTGATTGATTTATCGGAAGTTGTTCATAATAAATATAATTGACGTCTTGATGGAAGGAAAAGGCAACTAATTGGACGATTTAAGATTGAATGACTAAGCAGTCATTCTGATCGGAAATCTCGGTTCATAGCAAGACGCTCTTATGCCAGACTTGTGAGAACGAACTCATTAGAGCCAAAAAAAAACATCTGGACGGCCGCCAAAACTATCAAAACTATAATGAGAAACGTCCTTAAAGACCCACTAGACATCACTAGAACGCAACAAAGTAAGCTAGAAATCATTTGCATCAGAAATAAAACACTAAGTCGCTCCATCACTGGAAGAATGTTAAAACACGGCGTTTTTGCTTGAAAAACCGCCGAAAAACTCAGCATCGGACAAAAACAGAAAGCAAATCGTTTCAAATAGCGTCGAAAAAAAAGAAGACGCAGATTTTAGAAAAGAATAGTTTTCATTTACAGACCAGAGTTCACCTCAACAGTGATGAAATAATACATGTCTTCAGGGGAAAAACGAGTTTTGGAAAAAAAACTTAAATAACTTTCACATTGGACAAACGATCCTCATTTTTGGGGGTGCAATTTTCGAATTGTTCAGAAAGTTCCCGGGAATTTTCGGAAATGTTTAATCATTTTCAATAGCAGCAATTTATTGTCTCCTCTCGAAACGTTTAATAAAATTGCGAAAAGATCCTGATTGACTTTCCAACAAGCCAATGTACCTTTTCACAAAGTCAAAAGAATTCAAGGTTTTTCAACATAAAACTCTTGACTCTTGAGTTGTTCTTGACTGGCCACCTTACAGTCCTAATAAAACCCTTTCAAGATTTTATGGTGGGCATCATTGAAGAAAAAGTGAAAAAAAAACATAGCCAACAGACAGTTGGGAAAGAGTCAAGGAACGCAGTTAAACAGAATAAAAAATGACTTGAACTTCAACAGAAAAAAAACTTCAACGAATTTTAAAGGAAAAACATATGCCTTTAAAGCTCTTTGAATTTCACGAAAAATTTCTGTTTGACCCTTTTTGATAAAACTAACTCAATTTGAGCAACTTGATCAATAGTAAAGCTTTTTATTTCGCTGCAAAATCCAAAATAAAATTCCATTTTCGAAACTAGAAGGCAATCACGTTTTTCGTGATCTTTTAAATTTCGCTGTTAGATGTTGGATTTTGTCTTTCAAAAAGGAAATGAACTGAACTTAAAAATGAATCAAAAGTCAAACCGCGAAAAAGTAAATTTGAGCTTGAACAAATTTTAAGACTTCCTAACAACGGAAAAAGTAACTTGTTTTATGAAAAAACTTCAACTTGCGAATTTAAAGGAAAAAATACGCCCTTAAAGCTCCTTGAAATTCACAAACAATTTATGTTTGACATTTTTGATAAAATTCACCCAATTTGGGACAGCTTGATGAATATGTTAATATTTTATTTCACTGGGTATTCTGATGATTAATTTCTTTTTTCGAAAATAGAAGTCGATCACGTTTTTTGTGACCTTTACATTTTTGCTGCTTTGTATTGAAGTTTGCCTTCCATTGAAACGAACTTAAAAAGAAATCAAAAGTGAAAACGCGAAAAAAAGCACAAGAATTACCTAAAATTCCAAGCAATAAACGCGAAGAAACTTTAATGAATTGAGAACCTAATCACAACCAAACTTATAACTTAAAAAAAGTTAACAAAAACGAAATAACTAAAATATGTGACAAAAAGTGATTTTGTATCAGCATTACAAGAAATTACTGAGAAAAAACTCCAAAAAAAAACGGAAAAAAGTTTTTCCGCGTATTCTAAATACCGGAGCACCTTTAGTAAGCCAAGGTCAAATAACGAAAATTTTCAGATACGCAACCAAATTTCTTTATCATAAAATTGTCGCAAAAAATTTTTAGGACAATTGAAAACAAAAGATTCACGTGACTTTATAAGAGTTCCTTTTTGTGCTCAACTAGTGGAACGATCGATTGAAACAATAAAATAAAGATTCACATGCAAATCCATACAAACATTTTTCGTACCTAGGCGGGAATTGTCTAATCAATTGAAAATAATTTAGAGAGATCGGAAATATTTGATTGGAGAAAATGCACTTTTTTTCTTCATCAAAAGATGTCATGCGCCGTATCAACTTGGTCTATGGTTGCAGGCACAAGCTTACCGCGGGGTACACATGACTTGGACAATTGACTACCTTTTTCATTAAAAGCGTCTTCGTTTGGGCTTCACACGGAAGTTATTATCGAACTATGGGGAAATATAGACAGATTGCCTCTTATCTATCAATTCTGGAAGCTTTAACGTGCTCCCCTTGTGGGCTGCTATTGTGTGAGAAGCAGGATGTAGGCTGCAGAAGAATGTCATATAAATTAGATAACGGTCTATCGCTTTTCGAGGTTCTATTTTTAAAAATTATGAATACATAAGGCAATTTATTTAGTTCAAAAATATAGAAACTAGCTCGACGAATCAGCGAAAAGCCTCATCTGTAAAATTCACAACTTGCACACATCAATCTTCATTTACTCGGAGACCTGTAAACTGACGCTTCCCTTATTGAGCCACCCTGCAACCAAATTATTCATTTTTGGTTCATTGAGAGTCCCGATAACCTCAAAGATTTGACCCACTCACAAATCAAAAATTCCTGGTTCGCTATTTTTGGCATCAATTTTCGAATCTTTATGTATTAATTGTGAGGAGGAAGCGTTTGCCGGAAATAATGAGGGCCTAGGAAAATTAAATTGGTCGACCTAATAAATAGTTTCCATAACTTTTCGAAAAACCGCATCCCTCAAAAAACTCATACGTACGCCACTGATCTTAACGCTGTTTCAATTCCAAAAATTCTTTAATTTTTTCTTGGCGTTAATGAAAAAAGCTGATTTTTTGACGAGTCGTTTACTTCCTGTAAAAAGTCCTGAAGCGATATTGTCACCAAAAAGCGCTATTGCCACACAAAACTGCTCTATAATTTCAAAACAGCGCTCTAGTTCCAAAAAGCTACTATTTTTGCCCAAAACATTGCCTGAGGCGCGGAAAATGTTTGCTAAAAAATTTCATTGTGCTAATTTAAGTTATCAGGACAAAACGTAAGAAAAAAATGCAATTTCAAATGCTTTTTTCTCAAATTGGGTAAAAATTAGAGAAAAAGTGAAGAATACATGAGTTATTCGGAATTTCAGAATTACTACGGTGCAATATGTTTTTCAAAATTTGCAGCCAAATGGGTCATTGTGGCTTTCTTTAGATCATCAAGAATAGTTACGCTGAAACTACTGAGTTACAAGTAGTTGAAGCTATAACAAAAGAAGCCTTTTACACAGCTCGACTAAGTTTTAGAAAGGTAAAATTTAGAAATTGACTGACCAATTTGAACAAAAGAAGTCTCAATAAAATTATTTTTTTTGTTCTGATTTCCCCTAAAAAAAAGTGGCGTATGACTTTTTTCTCCAGTCAAGACTCGACTTCATGCCAGATGAAAATTATTGATTCACACAGAGGCGAAGTTGCACTTCACATACACAAGCAAAAATATGACCGATAACGCTACGACGCATTAGCAGTAACAGTCATTTTGAAAAGGAAAAAAATACCAATTGCACATGCCTCAATTTATAGAGCGGACGGATTTTAGCAAGTATACGAAAATCGAAAGCTAGAAATTCTTCATGTTTCTTCCCATTATTTGTGCTATCGTAATTGAAGGTCGTAATTCTGGGGAACTATGGACAATTTGAAATAAAAAATGCGTGCAATTTTTCAATTAACGATAACAAAAGCGGCGAATTAATCCGGCTCAGCAATGATGGTAACGGTAATTGGTCCAAATAGCTCTTACTTGGTGAGAAATATCATGTTCAGATGATGTATTTAGGCTGGTTTGGATGAATTTTGAAAAAAAAAAACGAAACTGCCTTGATACCTTTAAGCACAGTCGGAGGATATAGGGCTTTGAGATCTTGTTAACTACCCCCCCCCTATTGCAATTTTGTATTTTGACCGGCTATGCAATCGGTTGAATCGATGAATCGACGTTTTATTCATGTTCCGATAATTTGACCTTTTTAGTGTGATGATATAATTTTCTCAAGTTATCTTATGATTATTAAATTGATTGGGGGGATATTGTACGTTTGTTCCGAACAAGTGTTTAAGTATTAAAATTTTAAACTTGTCAAAATTACAACCGCAATTAAAAACTTTGTCAATTGGATATTTTCATCAAATTTTTTATAGAAGTAATAATAGAAAAAATATATATGAACCTACTCAATTTATGTATATTGTATTTAGTTCATTGGTATGACAGTTTTAGTACTGGTTTTATCGATTAGCCGTTTATTTCAACATTTGCCAACATTTCTGCTCTTGGACCCTTTCGGCACTTATAAAACTCTGCTGAGTGACCAGTCATCAAAATTATGCCGAGCGGTAGAGTTGTTTGGGAGTTGTTGTTAGGCAGAGATGTTGCTGCAGTACAACATTGCCGAAGTACAACAGTGTCGAAAATGAATGCAACTGGGGTAATTCGGTACTGCTGAACGCCCCCAATCAAATTCGAGATCAAACGATCATGAAACGACGAATCATCGATATAGCTCGACGAATCATCGAAAAGCCTCATCTGTAAAGTTCACAACTTGCACACATTCAATCTTCATTTACTCGAAGACCTGTAAACTGACGCTTACCTTATTGAGCCACCCTGCAACCAAATAACTCAATGTTTTTGGTTCATTGAGAGCCCCGATAACCTCAAAGATTTGACCCACTCACAAACCAAAAATTCCTGGTATTTTTTGGCATCAATTTTCGAATCTTTATGTATTAATTGTGAGGAGGAAGCGTTTGCCGAAAATAATGAGGGCCTAGGAAAATTAAACTGGTCAACCTAATAAATAGTATCGATAACTTTTCGAAAAAAACTCATACTTACGCCACTGATCTTAACGCTGTTTCAATTCCAAAAATTCTTAAATTTTTTTCTTGGCGTTAATAAAAAAGCTGATTTTTTGGCGAGTCGTTTACTTCCTGTAAAAAGTCCTGAAGCGATATTGTCACCAAAAAGCGCTATTGCCACACAAAACTGCTCTATAATTTCAAAACAACGCTCTAGTTCCAAAAAGCTACTATTTTTGCCCAAAACATTGCCTGAGGCGCGGAAAATGTTTGCTAAAAAATTTCATTGTGCTAATTTAAGTTATCAGGACAAAACGTAAGAAAAAAATGCAATTTCAAATGCTTTTTTCTCAAATTGGGTAAAAATTAGAGAAAAAGTGAAGAATACATGAGTTACTCGGAATTTCAGAATTACTACGGTGCAATATATTTTTCAAAATTTGCAGCCAAATGGGTCATTGTGGCTTTCTTTAGATCATCAAGAATAGTTACGCTGAAACTACTGAGTTACAAGTAGTTGAAGCTATAACAAAAGAAGCCTTTTACACAGCTCGACTAAGTTTTAGAAAGGTAAAATTTAGAAATTGACTGACCAATTTGAACAAAAGAAGTCTCAATAAAATTATTTTTTTTGTTCTGATTTCCCCTAAAAAAAAGTGGCGTATGACTTTTTTCTCCAGTCAAGACTCGACTTCATGCCAGATGAAAATTATTGATTCACACAGAGGCGAAGTTGCACTTCACATACACAAGCAAAAATATGACCGATAACGCTACGACGCATTAGCAGTAACAGTCATTTTGAAAAGGAAAAAAATACCAATTGCACATGCCTCAATTTATAGAGCGGACGGATTTTAGCAAGTATACGAAAATCGAAAGCTAGAAATTCTTCATGGTTCTTCCCATTATTTGTGCTATCGTAATTGAAGGTCGTAATTCTGGGGAAATATGGACAATTTGAAATAAAAAATGCGTGCAATTTTTCAATTAACGATAACAAAAGCGGCGAATTAATCCGGCTCAGCAATGATGGTAACGGTAATTGGTCCAAATAGCTCTTACTTGGTGAGAAATATCATGTTCAGATGATGTATTTAGGCTGGTTTGGATGAATTTTGAAAAAAAAAACGAAACTGCCTTGATACCTTTAAGCACAGTCGGAGGATATAGGGCTTTGAGATCTTGTTAACTACCCCCCCCCCTATTGCAATTTTGTATTTTGACCGGCTATGCAATCGGTTGAATCGATGAATCGACGTTTTATTCATGTTCCGATAATTTGACGTTTTTAGTGTGATGATATAATTTTCTCAAGTTATCTTATGATTATTAAATTGATTGGGGGGATATTGTACGTTTGTTCCGAACAAGTGTTTAAGTATTAAAATTTTAAACTTGTCAAAATTACAACCGCAATTAAAAACTTTGTCAATTGGATATTTTCATCAAATTTTTTATAGAAGTAATAATAGAAAAAATATATATGAACCTACTCAATTTATGTATATTGTATTTAGTTCATTGGTATGACAGTTTTAGTACTGGTTTTATCGATTAGCCGTTTATTTCAACATTTGCCAACATTTCTGCTCTTGGACCCTTTCGGCACTTATAAAACTCTGCTGAGTGACCAGTCATCAAAGTTATGCCGAGCGGTAGAGTTGTTTGGGAGTTGTTGTTAGGCAGAGATGTTGCTGCAGTACAACAGTGCCGAAGTACAACAGTGTCGAAAATGAATGCAACTGGGGTAATTCGGTACTGCTGAACGCCCCAATCAAATTCGAGCATCATGATCAAACTTTCAAAAAAATACATTGCTGATTTCAATCATCCGGACAAAACGCATTTAACTCAAAAATTAAAAAATATATATATGAAACTACTCAATTTATGTATATTTTTAGTTCATTGGTATGACAATTTTAGTATTGGTTTTATCGATTAGCCGTTTATTTCAATATTTGTCTGTATTTCTGCTCTTGGATGCTTTCGGATTTTAGAAACCTCTGCTCAGTGACCAGTCATCAAAATTATGCCGAGCGGTAGAGTTGTTTAGGAGTTGTTGTTTGGCAGAGATGTTGCTGCTGTACAACAGTGCCGAAGTACAACAGTTTCGAAAATGAATGCAACTGTTGTTCTTCGGTACTGCTGAACGCCCCCAATCAGATTCGAGCATCATGATCAAACTTTCAAAAAATACATTGCTGATTTCAATCATCCGGACAAAACGCATTCAACTCAAAAATTAAACAACGTTTTAGTCAAATTCGGTTGAGTTTAGGTGAAAAAATACGAAGACAAAATTAGCGTAGAATCGCAGCAAAATTGATATAGTGCAATTTGTTTTGCAAATATCGGACCCAAAACTTTTCCCCAAAATCGATCATTCTTTTGGAATCAAAAGTTAAGGCAAATTGACTTTTGCAAGTTGTTTTTAAATATAAAGGGGTGTTTTACAATCGAACAAAAATAAACTAATTTTTACAAGGTTTTGGAGATTATACCTTTGTTAAACTTTTACGATATTATACCCTTTGTTTGGCTGCGTAAGAAGTCTGCTTGGATATAATTTTGACAGTAATAAACTTGGTATTTTCGGCGTAACTTTTAATTAACAAAAAATGATCAATTTTAAGATTAAGTTTTAAACAAAATTCGCAAAACAAATTGCACAATATTGCCCGAAATTCGAGAAACAAATTGCACCAAGATTTATTTATTGCACCAATTTGAGACATACGCTTTTTAAAATTCAAGTTTTTTTCGTTTTTCCGGATAATTTAAATCAGCTCTGTAGTTTTTTGGCAGTATAACAGAAAAAAGTAGCGATTAGCATGTGCACCTATGAACATGCGACAATTGTTTTAATTGCGTGTGCACTCAGATTAAAAACAAATTAGCCTAAATTTACAGTAGTTTAGAAAACCACTTGATTGGTTCAGGAAATTTCACTTACACCTAAATAAAAACTCGGCTCAGTGCACGCTGATAAAAATTGCATCTTTGAGTAAGAAAAATTTTAAATAGCGAGTCTTCAAACTACATGCTTTTACATGGGCATGATAACCAACACACATGCTAATAGGACCGTCCCCAACAGACAAGGCCTCAGAACCGATCATATAATTAAGTTTTTAAAACAATTAATCCAAAAAGAATAGTAAATTATTAGTAGTAGTAGTAGTAGTATACAACTTCAACATTAATGCCCTGATTTGCGGTTGGACAACCAGTGTTTACTAACCAAAGTTAATTTAAGTCGGTAAGCAAGTTTCACTGAATTAGCTGGCAAGCTATCGTCTCAGCTCAGTTACTATTGGATCGCTTAATTTGCTTGTCGTCTAATTTCCCAGCCCCCAATTGCGGTCATACTTTCAGCTTTTACTCCAGCAACCAATCAATCATTTGATGCTGCTGGAATGGTAAATGACTTCAATTTTGCCAAGTAAAAAACAGGAAGAATTGTTTCCGTTTGCAAAAAAATTCGCCTTCAATTCAGAGTCAAGTAATTTTTTCAGGTCATTTGAAACAAAAAAAAAATCACTTGAGTTCAGGGGCGGATTTAGGGGAGGGGGGCAGTGGGGGACGGACGCCCTTTTCTCAGGGATTCGGCCCCCTGCCGACCCAAAGGGTCCCCCCTTTGGTACTTTTTAAGAAATCCATTTTATTTTTGGCCGACCGACTCTAAAATTTTTCTAAAGGCGCCTTAGGCGCCAATATACTAACTTTGAGGGGTTTTACTGTCAAAATTTTCCAAAAAGTGCCCAAAAACGGTTTTTTTTACCTGTTTTTTCAAACATTTGCTTGCGGCGCAGAAAGTTTGGCCAAAACAGCGTGTTTTTAGTGCTTTAGGAGAGCTCGGGGATCTACTTAACAATCACCCCCCTTATTGTACCTACTAAAGAATCTCCCCCCTTTCTTGAAAGGGGAGGGGAGATTGTTAAGTAGATACGAGCTCGGAAAACCAATTTGTTCGACCTAAAAAAAAGGTCAAAATTTTCGAAAATTTTTCGAAAATCCGCCCCCCCCCCCTCGAGAAAATCCAAGATCCGCCCCTGCTTAAATTGAATTGCTTATGAGATTGAGTTGAATGAATTTTCTACGCCCATAGGTCCAAAAATTAGCAGTCGTTTAAGTACCAAATCTTTTCAATTGGTCAAAAGACTAAATTATCCGAGTCTCGGCTTAAGGTCGCCGGTGGATAACCGGCTCTAAATTTCGTATAGAGTCCTACCCTTTGGTGGCAAGCTCGCAACACGTTGGCGCGGCTGCGGCGGTCACTATTCTGCAGCTTGAGTTTATGCTGCTTAAACAGTAAACAATCAATCCATAAACTCGTTGGCTCAAATTTCAACCAATCAGAATTCTAGAAGATAAATTTTAGGACTTGTGCGACTGATAATAAATTTTGGGACCTATGGGAAGTCATTACGCACACTTCTAAACGAGTACCGACCTTCGAATGGAAGGACCTTCGGGAGTGAACCTCGAATGAGTGCGGAACTTGGGTTGAGTGAGCCTACGTTTGAGTTTCGGGTGTGGACCTTCGGCTGTGTGGACCGCCACCCTTGTACTGTATTTATCATAATTTAAACCAAGTACCTGATAGACGCGGCTGTGGAGATATCTGCCCCTGCCACGCCCATTTCAAGGTCATCGGGCAGTTTGGCCTCCTTGTGCCTCAAATGGGTCAGAGGGTTGGCTTCTGTTTCGGGGGTCACCACAGGGGTGCAATCCGGAGATGAAGAAATGACGTCATCGTTATCTGAGGTCCCGGACTGTTCTTTAGATGATGACAGTGTTTTCATTACTTTTCTTCTTGTTCGCCTGAAAAAATAGCGCTTTTCGACTGACTCCAGTTTCTGCGCACTATACAATATTTTGGCTCGATTTCGATGTCGATAAAATAGAATAACTAGGATCTTTTTTGAGACGACATGATAATAAGAACAAAAAACAGTAAACGGTAACGGCGAAGCCAAACACTAAACAATAATTCTTTATGTTTTTCAGTAAATTAGTTCAATTTTTGCCAGGTAAAAAAAACAGGAAGAATTGTTTCCGTTTGCAAAAAAATTCACATTCAGTGTTTGTTCTTCAGAATAATGATCTTGAATTCTTTCATTTTTAACTCAGTTTTTGTGAATTAAGTAATCTTTTCACGTCGTTTGAAACAAAAAAAATGACTTGAATTGAATTGATTATGTTGCGGTTGTGTGTGAACAAAAAGGGACAAATGAAATGCATAAGTAGTGACGCAGCCTGCAGCGTTTTACATGGCCTATTTCAATCTACACACTATAACGTATTTCCTTGCGCGGTGAATATTACATTTTACTGTCAAATGCGTTGCGTTTAATTTCCTCGTTGAATGAAGAATCGCTAAGCGCAGTCTTATTTGCTGTCACAATTCCATGGAAAACGGATACTGTTTTGGCTTGCGTGCCGTCGTTTTGCAAATAAGTAAATGAAAGGGGCAAGGCAACCCAATTAGAAAAAGAGGTACTAATATGATTGTTACGTGTCAGTATTTAGACAGCCGCGTATTCATACTGGTCAGTATTTAGACAAATACTGTTTCAACCAATCAGAATCGAGACAAAGAAGAAATTAATAAATAATTATTATTTATTTTGGATTATTTATGTTTTTTCCCGATTCTGATTGGTTGAAACAGTATTTGTCTAAATACTGACCAGTATGAATACGCGGCTGTCTAAATACTGGCCGCACTCCTAATATGATAGAGTGGTCCCTTGAAAATAACCAGGTCCCTTGAGAATAAGACACCTAGAGCTCTCAAATCGTTTATTAATTATGATTGAGCCCTTCAGAAAGATGTCGCAGTATATTTTCATAAATTTTATGTTTTGTTATCTCAAAACCTCCCCCTCACCATTTTAAAGTTGAAAATCTAAAAAAAACCGCCAATAGTGGGTTTTGATGACAAATAAGTCAACCCAATTATATGGTTGTTAAACCGTAAAATAAAGTAAAGCGAGCAAATTTCAATATATAAACAATAGTGATAACAATTTTCAATCTGAAAAGTTTTTGGCTGAACATCTTTTGCAAGATTTTTGAAATGAATAATTTATAAACCAACTAGTTTTCAAAATTATAACATGCAAAATGCATGCGGGTCCTGTCTATCATAGTTGCTTTTTCGAGGGACCACTCTATCATAGTAGTACGGAAAAAGATTACAATCTTACTCCAAAATTTAATGCTTGCTCGCACGTTTAATGGCACGCATCACCACTTATGATAAAGTCTAAGAGGATACATCTTCCAGGGTAAAAGTATGTGATAGAGGGGTGAACAAGCGCCCGGGTCGAGGTTGTGGGTTTATGATCAAACGGTCGCGACCATATTTTGGTACTTCTAGACTGCCGCGACGACATTTAGTATTTCCAGACTTTGCGGACCGCGGCAATGTGTCCGCAACCGGCGCGACCAAAGGATATTTATCCGCGACCGGCACGACCGAAGGAGAGTTAACCGCGACCGGCGCGACTAATTTTTCGACCATCGCGACCGAGAGACGGTAATTCCAGAGTTTGTTCGCGACTTAAAACCCTGTCCAGACATGATTTTCGGTAACATTTCCGCGACCGACAAAGTCGAAAAGTTAGTCGCGGACATCGACCCGCGCGCTCTTCTGAATACACCAATTGAATAAACTCCTCCTTAAAATTAAACGTCTAACATTAAATAAGCAAAACAAGGGGGCTACTCTCATGCGCGAAGGACCGAATGCGCGACGAAAATTTTGTGCGAAAAACCGAAAACAAAATTAGGCGAAAGTCATTTTTGAAAAGAAGCAGTTGACATTCAATTAAAAACAAGTAAATGAAGAAACAGTTTGCTTCTTTGAGGCACTTAGCACAGTGGTAAGGCGTTCACTTGGAAATCGTCAGATCGTGTATTCGATCCCATGCCATGGCAATGATAGTGTGTGAGGACAAGCTCTCACTTGACCTCCATCTTCAGGTCTACCACAACCTGACCAAATTTGGCTGCAATAGTGGTACCACTTAAAAAGTTCTAGACACAAAAAAAAAACGGCCTTGAGTCGCAAAAAAAACAGCTTCGCTCAGCAAATATAACACTGTCTGGAATGTGGGGAGATAATACAAATGGACTATCCTCGACAGGACTGTTAAAGCCTACTGATAGCTCCTCTGCGATTCGCAGGAACTACAATTAATTAATTATTATTCTTTCTTTACGAAACCCTTGAAATGTAAAATTTGTCCACTTTTGCGGCGGTCAATGACAATGTTTAATTTTTGCTTATTTCTGCCGTTTTTATATTATGCCAATCTCAATACCCCAGTCCCGGGAAATGTTTACTTTCTTTCCAAATTTTAGATTACTGAAATCTGATTGCCTGATTTATATTTTCGCGCATTTGAACCTTCGGGCATTAGGGATTCCACCCAAAACAAGACCCGAATGTTCCGCCTGCCCTTTAAGAAAGGGGAATAATTGTTATGTAGATTAAGTTAGTAGAACTTTCGACCAATCAGAATGCACCAAACTTGGAACTATAAATAGAGCGCTCTAGTGCTAATTTGGTGGTTTTACTTATAGTGGTGTTAATTCTTCGTATACGACAATTCGCAACAAAGAGAACTCGTATAAATTAGCAATTAAGACAACTCGCAGAACGCGATAGCTCTCATTAAACTCGTAAGATCATCATTTAATTACCTCTAAAGTAAGACCCGTAATGCCCCACTAAATATCAGTTAATTTTTTTTAATGTACTCAAAACAATTATCGGTGAAACATATGAGTCTTTTTGTTCGTTTAACACCAAAGATTGAGTCCAAAACTTTGATTGCATTAATTGGTATATCGTCATTCATTTGGTTTTTAAATTGTTTTTACTCATTCGAATTATGTTGCAAATCACCACAACTCAGCGCGGGAAACGAATCTTTATCTTTGAAGATGAAGATGTTATGAAGTTCGATTTAATGAAAAAAGCGGGTTACCTTGGAGATGCTCAAGAAGACTTTGTAAATAACAAAGATTTTTTACACATGAAAAATTAAACCATTTAAATTCAGTGTTGCCTCATGAACGAGAAGTTGGAAAAAAAATTACTACAAGTGTCTTAACTTTTCCGCATTTGTTCAATTTAAATTTTCAACAAATTCGTTGAAGACATCGCAATTCTCATGGAATTTCAAACCACTCCGAGGAGGGAGAATTTTTTTACTCATGACTCGAAGATGGTAGATTCCGACCAGTTACTCGTGTTCACCACTGAGACAGATTTTGAACTTCTCGAGCGTTACACAGCTTGGTACGCTGATGGCACATTCAAAAAGTTGCTTCTCATTATTCAATCAAGTAAGTCATTTAACTGCTGTAATAAATAACTGCTCACTCCCTGGCTTACTTTCTGTTGCAGCGAAAAACTTAACAGCAATATCAACAATCATTTCGTGTGTTACTTGAACTTAACCCTTTATTAGAGCCAACAAAATTGTCATTGTTTTTGAAAAAGTGGAAACTTCTGCTTTCAAACTGAAAATCCCCTTAGCGCCCGTAAAAGGGTGCTTTTTTTCATTTTGCGCTGCTCAATTAATGAAAAGTTTAAGAATTAGGACTGGCAGTTGAATACAGAAAAGACAAAGACTTAAGGAACCAAGTGAAATCATTTATTGCGCTGGCTCTCATTCCTGAACGCGACTTGAAGTTGGCACTAGAAGCTCTCTGCGCAAAAGCAACTGAGAATGATAATCTTCATTCATGTGTCGATTATTTCGAAAAAAAAAACATGGCTGGGGGAACATTTACGTGGGTTTCTACGAAAAGATCCAGACCTCGAACCAGCTATATGGAATCATTTCAGCAATGCGATAAATGGAAATCAAAAATCCATTCGGTCAAAAGATGGCATAGAGGTTTCAATTAGTAACGGGTTATGCTCGCTTCACTGTATGAAAACTCATTCAGCAAATAAGGACGAAGCAAAGATTAAAGGAAAATTGCCTGATTTGTTTCAATTCGGGAGCAAAGCCCTATGTTTTTCTGCCTGAGATAGATTGGTTTCTTGAGGTAGATTAGTTTCGGTTCTGAGGTAGATTGGTTTCTTGTAGCTGGCTGATTGACAACAATTCATCTCATACGTAAGTCAACCGTAATTATTCGGTCTTTTAGTACTTATGATTTTTTTTCCACACTGTTCTTCGTTCATTAGAAAACTCATTGTTTTCTACCTTGGTCTTTCCCAGTATAAATTATTGCGAGAACACTGTAAATGTTCTAAATATGAACAATTGCAATAAGAGATATCAGAAACATTCACATCCAGATGAAAGGAAATTTTAGTTTTTTTTCGAGTCTTATACTAGTTGTCTGTTTCTGCGAATTGTCTTTTTCTTAATATTTTGCCAGTTGCCTTTTGATGCTAGTTGTCGCGGTACCGTAATTCTTTAGTAAGATACCATTAAGGGAATGTTCTAGTAGATCTCAAAATTTGCCTAGAATGCCATTTTTGTTCAGGGTTTGGAATGTCATTTGGTGACCAGTTAATTGACATTCTTTTTTCCTAACTAACGAGTTCTATTCAAACTTTCTAAAGTCTGGCACCAAAATGAATCGGAAAAATTGAAGCTTTTCAAATTGTAAGACAAAACAAAACACGAATGATCCAACTGCGCGAAGCCCTGAAAATTTCGATAGCATTTCATTTTTTGTTTCGTTTTTCCCTTAATTCATTTTCTTCTACGTTTTAAGCAAAATAAGAAGGGATATTCTTAGCGTATTTTAACGTAACCAATTTTTTCCTCCGCTTACGCGTGCTATTAAAACGCAGTATGTTGCGAGGTAATTATCCCAATTTCCAAGGCTGCATAATTTTTTGAAAAAAGATAGCAGGTGAAGTTTTGTTTATATATTTGATCTCCGGGCAACCATATATTTACGAAGTTTAAAAAAAATCGAAAAAGATTGAATAAAAACGACCCAAGCATAAAATTTTCCGCTCATTTTTAGAAAGTCAAAAAATCAATACAAACTTCGATACAAACAACTTCACTTGTTTTCACCAGGTTTTGAGACTGAGTTGTTTTTTTTCTCAAGTGGTTGCTTATAAGTAAGCTAGGTGCAGTCAAAAACCCTTCCAATAAATTCCTACTTGCTAATAGATTCAAGGGTTGTCGTTTCCCGCCAAGCCTGCCTGGTGTTTTCAAAAACAGTTCGTGCTTCAGTTCGCGTCTTTTTACATTTTCCCAACAAAAAATTAACAACGCGTCATTCAATGCTTAAACTAATTGTTCAAAGTACGTTTCCACAATTTTCCATCTATTATCATAATTCGACACTTCATGACTTGGGCGAAGTAAAGTACAACAAAACGGCTCGTATATCAGGTCAAAGCCTTGAATGTTCCGACTGCCCCTTAATCTA